CCCCCCCTTTCCCCAATACTGGAGAATTCTTTACAATTAAACTGCAACCGTAACAGCACCCAAGAATTTTCGCCCTCCCAGTTCCGGGAGAAAGTTCGTGAAGGGAGCCTTCGCTACTTGCTATCCTCAGAACAAGCCCTCCCCGGAAGGGCACACACACTCTGGAGAACTCAGCTGGCTCACAGTCGCCATGGCCACTGGCCATCCCTCACAAGGGCCAGTCACCTTCTTGTCGCAGGTTCACTGGCCCCCGCCGGCTGCGATCCGCGCCCCCGACCCTACCCCGGCTAGGACTGAGCCCCTGACCTCTGACCTCCCCGGCCACAAGAGACCCAGAGAATGCACTCCGACACCACAGGGAGGACAGCCCCAACGCTGCCGCTGACCGAGTGGGGCAGCCCGGCGGACAGAGGACATAGTCCGCCACCTCCTTCGCCCGCCCCAGCTGCGCGCAACCAGGAAGCTGCAGGCCTGGGCCAAGAGGGGGCGCAGGGCAGCCCCAGGCCTTACCCGCGGGGGCCGCAGCGAACTGCCACCGCTTGGGACCCTCTCTCACCTGGCCACGAGGGCGGGAGACGCGAGGGGCGACACGAATACGGGCAAAAGCTGCTCTCTCAGCGGGCGTCCCGGGCGCAGCGCCTTAGTTCAGCCTGGACCTGGCTCCCGTTCCCGCTGTCCGGGCGCTCGGAGCACTCGGGACCCGCGGGCGCCGCAGCCGTCAGGGCGGGGTGGGAGGTGGAGCCCACTTGGCGGAAAACTCGGCAGCCTCGGCCACCGCCCGGCTCCAGGGCGGGGCGGAGCAGGGATGAGGCGGGGCCTGAATGCGGCTCCGCCCACAGGTGAGGGCTTGGCCTGCAGGCGAGAGGGGAACCGCCTCTGCCCTTGGAAGGAGGAAGCCTCGTGCCTTCCGCCTGATCGGGGGCGGTAGTGGGCCGGGGCGGGACTGTTTGGGACCAGTGGAGGAGGTCACGGGCGCTCAGATGTCCTCCAGCCACCAAAAACCCCTACTCGTGCGGGGTCCGTCCCTGGGCCGCATTCGTCCTCCTAGAAGGGAGGGCATTTCCTAAGCCCTCTCCAGTCCTGCTCCCTTTGTTGGTGACTATCCTTAAGGGAAGGAAAACTTTCTGCATTATAAAGGTCACACATTATGGAAGGAGGGCAGGGGGAAGTAGATTTATAGTAGAGAAGACTGAAAAACCACCCCGCCAGGGGATCAGGGTCAACATTAACAGGGATAAGTCATATTGATAGAGTGTACAGGTTGTGGTCTTCCTTCCCAAAACACCTTACTCCAGGTTTGTCATCCTGAGAACAACATCGGACAAATACCAATTGAGCGACGTTTTACAGAATAAGAGAGCAGTACTCCTCAAAACTGTCCAGGTCATTCAAAACTAGGACAATCTGAGACATTGTGACAACCAAGAGGAACCTGCGGAGATATAAAAGCTAAAGGCAAAGTAGTATCCTGGAAAAGGGACAGTAGGTAAAAACTACAGACATCGGCTCGGTGCCTGTGGCTCAAGCGGCTAGGGCGCCAGCCACATACACCTAGGGTGGCGGGTTCGAAT